AACTAATAATATACTAATAATAACTAATAATAAACTTAATAATAAAACTAATACTACAACTCATTCTATAACACTATAATTGTGTTGTTTCTTTTTTATCACTTAAAGGTAATAATGAACTAGTTTTATTTAACCCATACTTAGTTCAAAGATGACTAGCTAAATTTGTAATACTCATTATAAGGTTAAAAATATATGTATATTGTTTAAGATTATTATTATCACAAATCCATATATAGCATTTAATTTTTTTAGCAAGTTTGTCTTTTCTCATGTAAAACTATACCCAACTTTTCTCAGTTTAAACCTTTTATTAGCTAGCATTACTGTTTCATAAATTATTAATTTTTCTTTGGCTAATTAATATATTTTGTTGTGGTGTGATTGTATTTTAAGCAGAATTATATAAACCTTCTGCTAATAAGGAAGATTCATTTAGAAAAGGTTTACTATTTGTAGAAGGTTCATCATTTAAGGAAAGTTTGTCTAGTAATAATAGTTCATCTAATGATAAAGGTTGTTTATCAGATAATAAAAGCAATTCTTTATATGATAACCAAGAAGATTTTTCATTAAATGTCTGTTTATTATTAAAGAAATTTTGCAAAAATATTTTGTATAATACAGTATTGATATTAATAGCAGAAAATAGAATGCTCTATTTAAAACATATAACTTTGATGAGATTAATAATACAAGAACACAAAGAACAACAAAGTTTTATTCAATAGACTTAATAACTTTAAGATAAAAAGTAAACTTTTTACTATTTAGAATCTAAATTAGTAATAACTACTAATTCAATTTTTATATATATTTTTATAACTTTTACAAAAATTTTATTGAATTTTATTATATTCTATTTTACTATATGAATTTCAAGAATCTCATAATTAAGGCTTGAGGCTATAAAAACATTTATTTAATTTTTTCTTATCAGATTTTTAATAATAAATAATGTTTTTATTTTTTTCACTTAAATTTTTTTATACTAATTTTTTTTTTTGCTTTCTTTTTAGTATGAATTAGAAGGTTACTATGATTTTTTTTTGATTTTTATGCTTACTTGTATAGCCATTGATATAGCCTACACTAGTTTTGTTATTATTAACTTTTTTATATTCAGACTTTAAACACAACTATAGTTTTATTATTTTACTTTTTTAGTTTAGTGATTCTGAGTAAAATCGATATGAAGAATGTTGAACAAAATTATACCTACATATATCAATTTGGTTATATCTACACTTCAAAAATATAAAGAAATTGTTTGATATATTCAGATATTGGCTTAGTCAGAAGCATTTTCATATTAAATACATAAGTTTAAAATTTTAAAAAATGCTATAACCAGATGTCAATATATCCATATATCAATATAATCAGAATAATGTGTATTACACAATCTATAATATAATACACGGCAGTATTACACAAGGAAACAAACACGATGAGACAAACATTATGAGACAAACACTATAAGACAAACACTATGAGACAAAAATATAATTTAATTGGCTGTTTATAAAATAAGGTAGCTGCGCAACGCAGTTGCGCTAGAAACCAGGAACGAAAATAAAAATACTGTTGACCTTCTCAAAACCAATTTTGTTAAAACCAATAAACTGCAATAGGCAATTAAAATTTGATTTACTATGTTGGTTTTAG